AGCTCTTCATCTAGAAATGGTTTTCCTTTTTTGTGCAAGAAACCAAGCCATTTTATGGCTGGCCAAAGTGACAAGCTCACACCTTGTTATATATTATTTAAAAATGTTTCTGGATATTTAATTTTTTTTTTAGATGATTAAACTTCATTTTTGTTTGTTGAGAGGAAATTTCTTGTTAGATTTACTATGTATTTGTTGACAGTGTCACATAGTATTGTCTGGTTTATAATCTAAAATTTTTTTACACAATGAACAGCTTATTTCTGTTCTCTTGTATCAAATTGTATTTAGTGTTTATTGTGAAATTTGTGATGTGCCTTAGTCCAGTCTTTATTCTTCATTGTTCCAGTGAGAGTACTAGCTTCTGCATGTCCACTTGATTCTGCATCAGTAGTGTATTTTCTTTTTATATTAAAAAATTTATCCATTCTTGGGGTGCCTGGGTGGCTCAGTTGGTTGAGCGTCTGGCTTCAACTCAGGTCATGATCTCACAGTTTGTGGGTTCGAGCCCCGCACTGGGCTCTGTGCTGACAGCTCAGAGCCTGGAGCCTGTTTTGGATTCTGTGTCTCCCTCTCTCTCTGCTCCTCCCCTGCTTGTGCTCTGTCTGTTTCTGTCTCTCAAAAATAAATAAACATTAAAAAAAAAACTTTTGTCCATTCTTAAATGTTTTTGGCTAGAAAAAGAGTTTAATTATAATGCAATTAAAACTGTAATAAATATTTCAGAACAGTAATCAATTACAGTTACACAGGATATCACTGTAATTTGTACTGTCTGCATAAAATATTCAAACAAGTCCATTAAATGTTACATCAGTGCATAGAAAAAAATCATTCAAACGTAATCAATTTGTTAAGATTGAATACACTGGTGGAAGGGCCCTGGGTGGCTCAGTTGATAGAGCATGCGACTCTTGACCCTCAGGTTTGTGAGTTTAAGCCCTTTATTAGGTGTAGAGATTACTTTAAAAAAAAAAAAAGAAAGAAACATTGTCTACACTGGTGATGTGATTATGTGTAATGTCAAAGAAAAATTGTATTGGAAAAGTAAAATAAGCAAGAAGACTTTACTCAAAACTATTGCAGTAGAGGGTAGAGATTGAATTGAACTCCCAACACAACGGGGATTTATAGCCAAGGGGCAGGATATAGAAGTGAGTGAATGAAAAATTACTGAGAGGAACTTGGTTAGGATCGGGGTGAAGGTATGAAGAATTTGGTTAGGTATCAAGAGTGGAGAGATTCTTGCCAGATCTGGGCCTGGCAGGCTGCCAAGGCCAAAGCGTAGTTGAGAAGAGGGCTCAGAGGAGCCTGACTAAAGTTTGGTCAAGGGGGTTGTTCTTGTCAGTAATGTTAGAAATAGTAGTATATGGGATCAAAAGGTTATGTAAAATGTAATCCTACCAAAACAGTAAAGTTGTATTTCATGGAAAAAATATGTTTCTTCAATTTAAATTTTTTAACTTTAAATTAAAATTCAATAAAATTTAAAATTCACTTTCTCAGTTCCATTAACAACATTTAAAATGCTCAGTAGCCACACATGATTCATGGCTACCGCTAAATAATCAGGCCAAGTAAGTTTGAAGATCTAATTGGTTTTATTAAAGAATTCATGCATTGGGCCCCACTTCCTCTAGCTAGTAGAGAGGCACTCCAAAGAGTTGTATAAAATGAAAGGTTTTTATAGAAGGAAGGAAGGAAGGTTAAGAAAGTTATTAGCAAAAGAAAAGGATTGACAAGGTTGTTTTCTAGGGGAGGGGTCTTACCATGCAGAGTACCTCATCTTTCTTTGAGGGAGAGGACCCAGATGACAGAGTCATTGGCACTGGTGGAAAGAAAAATTTCCTGACTGACTGGTTAAGGCCACATTTCTGGGGGGAGGTTGAAACTGCAGTTAAGTTTGGGTATTAAGCCCCAGTTTGGGAACTCAGTCAAAGTGATACCATTAGGGCCTGTGGTTTTCTTTTGTTAACATTACTGTATTGGACAGTGGAGTTCTAGACCTTTTGGGAGTACGTTTTCATACATGTGTTTATGCCTGCCTACATATTTTGTTCCTGTGTATATTTTTTCTGTATCTACAGTTATTTAGCTTTGGTTGTTTTTGGTAAACATAATGGGATTATATAGTATGTATTTTTCTTTTACTAGCTCATTTCACCTACCATATATCTTGGAGCTTATTCTGTGTCAATACATAAAAATCTGCCTCTTTTATTTTAGTGCTGCCTAGAGTTATGGATGTATTCTAGTGATTAAAAAAAATTTTTTTTTAAATTTTATTTATTTTGAGAGAAAGGTGGGTGGGGAGGAGCAGAGAGAGAATTCCAGGTAGGCTCCATGCTGTCAGGCACAGACCCTAATGTGGGGTCTAAATGCACGAACTGCAAGATCATGACCTGAGCCTAAATCAAGAGTTGGATGCTTTCCCAACTATGCCACCAGGCGCCCCTATTCTGTGATTTTAATTGTCCCCACCTGAAATGCCCTTAGATTGCTTCCAACAGTATACTATTACAGGGAATGGTTTATTCTTCCCTGTATTTGAATATTTTTTCTAAGTTAGATTCTGAGAAGTAAGATTACTGCAATTTTAGAAGGTTTTACACATGTGAAATATTAATACTCTCACACCGCCATCCAGAATGCTGTTTTACACTCCCATGATAGTACCAAAGAGAACCCTTTGCCCTGCACCATCGTCTACTTGACATTTTCAACGTTTATTTATTTTTGGGACAGAGAGAGACAGAGCATGAACGGGGGAGGGGCAGAGAGAGAGGGAGACACAGAATCAGAAACAGGCTCCAGGCTCTGAGCCATCAGCCCAGAGCCCGACGCGGGGCTCGAACTCCCGGACCGCGAGATCGTGACCTGGCTGAAGTCGGACGCTTAACCGACTGCGCCACCCAGGCGCCCCGACATTTTCAATCTTTAAGAATTTTGCCAGTCTTGTGGATGAAAATTATTTTTAGTATACATTTTTTGAAATAATTTTATGAGATTTATTGATTTTTCATATTTTTATTAGTATTTCATTTTTTATTAAAAATTTTTAATGTTTGTTTATTTTTGAGAGAGTGTGAGTGTGGAATGGTTAGAGAGGGGGTAACAGGATCTGAAGAGGGCTGTGTGCTGACAGCAGGGAGCCCAATGTAGGGCTTGAACTCAAGAACCGAACCGTGAGATTATGACCTGAGCTGAAGTCGGACACTGTAACCGACTGAGCCACCTGGGTGCCCCAGCATTTCATTTTTTAATACATCGCCAGTTATTTCTTCTGAAATTAACTAAGTTTATTATCTAAAGACGGCATATATCCTGTATTCTTGGGTTTCCTTTGAGTTCCTTTGATCAGGTTGTTAGGTGGGTCAGTTTTTAGTTTGCATCCCTGTGGACAAATATCATTTGCATTTCTATTTTCTGCAATTTACTGAGCAATAAAACTGCCTAACGGCTATGTTAGGGAGGAATAAATATCTTCTGCCCTTTAGGTCTTTTTCACTGGACTAAGAATTAAATTGACAGGAGATAGATTAGCATGAGAAAATCAAATTTAGTTTTATGCATACAGGGAATCCACACAGACATGAGATTTCAAAGACAGGGAATTTGAGACTTATATAACATCCTGAGCTAAGGAGGGGGTTTAGTGGTCTGGGGAAACAAAGAGGAGGAAGACCTTTAGCAGGAAGGTAAGAGTATATGTATGGAAAACAAAGGTTGCCCTGTTACTGTAGATACCTTTCTTAAGTAAGGAACAATCTGTTAGTAGCTTTTCTTCTTGGTACAGGTTCTCCTTTTCAATGTAAATTTAGGCAGTTGAGGGGGAGGTTAAGAGCTTTTCCTGAATCTGCTGAGTTTTGATTGCTTTTAAGTCAAAACAGTCTTCATCCAAAGTGGCCCATTTTTGGAGCAGCTTGCCCTTAGCCCCTATACTTGTATATGAAGGGAAACTAGGCTTTTTTTTTTTTTTTTAACCTTGTTTATGTTACATTGTTAAACTTGTTATGCATACATTTATTATGTTTTCTGACAGGGATTAGAAAGTACATTCTAAACTCCACCTGGTGGCCTTGCAAATGGCTAGACTAGCTGTTTACATTTGTTAAAAAACAACATTCAATTGAATAAGTTTTGAAGGTCTTATTGATTTTATTCAATGATTTATGAATTAGCATCCCATTTAACAGACAGAAGAGAACTCTGAGGAACTATACAAAATGAATGACTTTCATAGGCAGAAGTGAGTGCGAACAAGGAAATTATCCTAGGAAAAAGTGGATTGGTTGTGTTCATTTTCCTTAAGGGTCTGGCAGGGGTCTGGCAGGCAGATTGCCTCACTGGTGCTGATAACATAGTTCTTGATTGGTTTAAAATCCCGTTTTTAGAAGAGCCAAAACTGTAATTAAGTTGCAATTAGGTGACATGGGACTTAGCATAAGTGACTCTATTTTGAGCCTGAAGTTTCTCTTTCTCTCTTTTTTAATGTTTATTTGAGAGCCAGAGAGAGATACTGCAGGTGGGGGAGGGGCAGAGAGAGAGAATCCCAAGCAGGCTCTGAACTTCCAGTGCAGAGTCAGACTCAGGGCTTGATCCCACGAACCGTGGGATCATGACCTGAACTGAAATTAAATCGAGTGAGACGCTTAACTGTCTGAGCCACCCAAAGCGCCTTCTGGTGTCTCGTTTTTAAATAGTCCAAATTATATGAATATAGCTAAATAAAAATCCTACTCTGTAATAATAGCAAATGCCATTTTGTTGTGTGCGGTCTTCAGGCATGATTATTCTGTTCTCACTGTGAATGGTGTTTTTTACACATGATAAAGCAGGCTACCATATTCACATACGTTACAGCTAGAATAATCCATTGCTTTAAACATATAATTTTTAAGTGTTTTTTAGATTTAATGTTCAACAAAAATTTTTTCATAAGTAACTGAAAAAAATGTAGTGGCTACTGTAGACTGTAAATGAAGGAGAAGCTTAGCTTTACTGTGAAGTCTGAGTCTGGGTGTAACCTAACTAGCTAGAGGATATGCAATTCCTGATTGACAGCAGGACCAGCATTATGCAGATTTTGTAAGAGAACAGCAGCTCAGAAAACAGTGATTAGGGGCTCTGTTAGGAATCACTACATTCATCACTCATCTTTAGTTTTTCATTTCCCTGTCTACTGGATTTGTAAACAAATAGCACAAAACAGTTCCTCTTTTGTTTTTATTCAAGTGGTACTGCAATGCAGTTTCAGTCTATCAGCTAGGCATACATGTGTGGAAATACGATATTCTCACTAAATTAGCTAATTTTTAGCTGTGTTCCCTGTTTATCTCTAGACCTTTGTGTATTAAATCCTATCTCGAGCTGTTCTCTTTATACACAAGTGTGTTTTGCTTGTGCCTTCCTGTCTTCTTCAGTGAGAAGCTTTATGTAGGTCAGGCTTGGCTTAAGCAGATTTCCTGAACCTGCGTCAGCTTAAGCTGGAGGAATTTTAATAAACCCTCCCCTGTAGGCGTGGGCCTAAATGAGGCTAGCCTAGTTAAGCCTGATCTTTTTCTGTTTGTGAAAAGAGCTGAGCAGAGCTGAAGGCTGCATGGTGGTTTCAGAAACTGCCTACTTAATTTGAAAAGAACAATGGTAGGAAAGGCTAGATCTTCCAATTTTACCTTATCTGAAAAGCTTGATTTGCTAAAGCTTGTGAAGCCATATGTTAAAATTCTCGAAGAACACACTAATAAACATTCAGTAATAGTGGAAAAGAATAGATGTTGGGATATCATAGCAGTAAACTATAATGCAGTTGGAGTAGATCGCCCTCCTCGAACAGCCCAGGGCCTACGCACCCTTTACAAAAGGCTCAAAGAATATGCCAAACAGGAGCTATTGCAGCAAAAAGAGACCCAATCAGATTTTAAAAGCAATATTTCTGAGCCAACCAAGAAAGTTATGGAGATGATTCCCCAGATTTCCAGTTTTTGCCTGGTAAGAGACAGGAACCACATTCAAAGGTAAGCTTTATTTTATTTTCTTGTGGAAAATTATGGCGCCTCCTATCTATTGGGCTCTGGCTTAGTTGTGATAGAGATATGCATAGTAAGCATCCCCACTACGGGAGCAATGAATAGTGTCTTTGTTTTGCTTTCTTAAAAAAGAAAAGTGAGGCTATAAGGAATTTTTCTGCTGCATTTGATTTAAGCCACTTTTTATTGTCTTCCCCTCCCCCTTCCTTCTCTCTATAGTTTCTAAAAGTAAAGGTTAGGGAGTAATAAATGGGATGAAATTTGTAACATAACCTCATAAACTTTTTAAGCTTAAATTTTAAATTGCTAATTAGCTTCTGAGATATCTTTTTCTTACTTAAGATTATATTTCATTGGAATTTTCAATTTTATGTAAAGTTAGCAGTTTCAGGAGAAATGGAAGAACCCTTGTTTTTTAATGAATTATTACTGTCTACACTTAGTGAATATTAATTGAGCTAAAAGCCTAAAATAAAAAATTAAGTAAATTTATTAATGGCATGATTGTATATACTAAGACAGTTTAAATTATTTTCCAACATATTCAAAATAAGAAAGATAAATACAAGGAGTTAATGCCTAATTAGGGATTCAGATTACTTAATAAAATTAAAAGTTTTTGTTGTTTTTGTTCATTAATGGTGTAGTTTCACTTTGATCTTGAATCATATAGGAAAGAAGGGTAAGCACTCCTATTTTGCAAAGATATAAACTATGAATTTTAATATATGAGTAAGCAACTAAGTTCTTACAGGGTTAGAAACAGTTGTTTGGTTAAATTTATGGTCTGGGAATAACTGGGAATCTTCAAAACTGTTATCTTATTACTAATTCAAATTTTAACCCCTGACAAAAGATAAAAATGGCAGCTGCATTCTTCTGAACCATTTAGGGTTATTTAAACAAATTGTAAACTTGTGAGTTGAGGGACATTTCAAACAAAGATTTACAGTGCTTTCTTCTTGGTGGAAGAGTCATTATATAAGCTAAATTATTGATTACCTGAAAAATCCTTTTGAAGTTAGGAGAGAAACAGGGGAGAAAAACTTTTTAACCAAACTTGTTATTTTTATAATTTATTAGGGTAGGTTTTTTGAGACCAGCTTCTTTCTTAATCATACACTGCTTATTTCTGGTAGATAACATAGTAAAAAAAAAAAAAAAAATCCGGGGGAATCTGGAACTTGGATACACAGTGTATTAATTCATCAGTGCTTAAAATGTTCTCTGTGAAGAGAAATGATTAAATCCTAATTTGTTGGGTGTCCAAAAAACTCCACAGTAAGACTTTTATACTGTACTGCTTATTAACCACCCCCCTGCCCCCGCAAAGTAGCTTTCGTGTTACAGGTATAAAACTACCTTTTGGGTATTAAGTATAGGCTTTTGTAATTTGAAAACTACATATATAAACTGTAGTTTTAATTAGTGGTGTATTTTAAAAATACAGTGAGTATAGAAGAGAAGTAATATACAAGTATCTGTTTACATTATGACTGTGAACATACAGTCAATCTTTTGGGATAACAACATTGCTCTGATAAATGAATTTGTTAATTTATACATTACAAAACCCACTATTTAAACAAGAACAACTTTTCATATTTTAAAGGGAAGAATTTATTATTAGAAATAAGCCTTGTAAGTGCTTGTGTCAGTGTGCACATTGCCATTTTCTCTGTATTCGCATTTTTATTTAACATATTTGCATATTTAATGTGCTTTTACTTGATTTGACATCATCTTGAATCTTCATAATTCTCAGAAGCTTATAATCTATAATCTTAGTTATGCTTCAGTATAAAATATGCCTGTTAGTCTCACCAAACTCTCCCATTCTTAATAAGGTAAATATTACTGCTTATATTTAACATATTTAAAGATATATACCCGTTTTGTAAGGCTACCTCTATAACACATTGATAGATGTCTTTATTTAAAAAAAAAAAATTTTTTTTTTTTCATCGTTTATTTATTTTTGGGACAGAGAGAGACAGAGCATGAATGGGGGAGGGGCAGAGAGAGAGGGAGACACAGAATCGGAAACAGGCTCCAGGCTACGAGCCATCAGCCCAGAGCCTGACGCGGGGCTCGAACTCACTGACCGCGAGATCGTGACCTGGCTGAAGTCGGACGCTTAACCGACTGCGCCACCCAGGCGCCCCGATATATGTCTTTATTTTTACTTTTCTCTAATATCAGATTATATTTTGTGTTTTTGCAGTCTATTTGACCTTCAAAATTCATAAATTTTAGAAGTCCTTCTGCTTATATTTGTGACCTTCTCTAAAACATTTTTTATTTTTTACTTCTTTATGCTTACTTGTAATATTTCAATGAAAATGAATATTTCTGATAAAAGCATTTTAAAATTTACATGGGAGTGTAATGTCTGTATATAATAGTGGTTCTTACACTCCTTTATACATGCTAATTTGGAATAGCAATTATGTGGGTTTTTAAAAGTTTCATTTTTGTCTGTAGTTTTAACTTTCCTCCTTGCTAGGTTTTAGAGTTAATAAAGGGAAGACTTACTACTTTGAATTACATTGATATTGTATTGTTTTACTTTTGAAAATCGTAAGATGACAAAAAGAATGAAACGTAAGGAATTTATATAATCTACAAGTTTTTCATAACATACTATATATCTTACTATTTCATTTGTATCTCTTAAATATCTGATAATTTCTGGCAATTTAATTTCATTAGTAAGTGACATATGGAGAGTTTTAATTTTGTTCCTCATGTTCTACTTGAACTTATTCCAGCATTTTAATCATCCATGTAGAGTGTATTCTTAACTATGTTACTTATTTATCATTTGGAAAGTGTTCTCTAAATAATGTTGAATGTAGTGTTTTTTTCATTAATGGTCCAATACTCCCTTTCCCCTCTATAACTTGTTTTTAAGTTAGGCAGAAGCATAAATTAAAACAAACCCAAGAAAAAAATTACATATTCTTAATCAGTAGCTTCATGTTACTCATGAAATTTGTTTGTTGAAAAAGTAGAATTTTTAGATACATTGTGTTTTATGTCATAACAAATATTGTTATGTCACAGTTTAAATTACGCTAAAACTAGTTTTCTCTGATAGAAGTGTGTATTTTATGAAAGTTACATGTAAATTTAACAGACTTTCAGTATATAGTATATAAGCCATTTAAAAATACTTCATTAAAAATGCCTTTTGTTTAATCATTCAACATGTGATAAATACCTGCTAGGTTCCAAGTACAGTATTATGCTCTGCTGGGGATACAGTAGTGGATATGAAACCTTTCCCTGTGAACTTTATCTGACCAATGGTTGAAAGACTGAAAGGCCAATGGAGTCATGTGGTTTAGGATCTGTAAAGAATAAACACCATGGTATCTAAAATTGTATAGTTAGGATAACATTCTGATAGTTGGGCATACCCAAAGCCATACAAAAACTTGATTTTGTTTTTTTTTTGTTTTTTTTTGGACAGATATAGAAATCCTATAGGAGGACAGTACCTCCTATCTATGGTCTTCTATCCTAGAAATCATGGACCTTGGTGATTTTTAGATCAGCCCAGGAGAGCAGGAGCAGGGGATCTAGGGCTAAGGTGTGGGAATAGCAAGGCCCAAAGTGCGGTAAATGTCCCTTTATACCATTTAAGAACGTCGGGCTTGTGGGAACATGTGGTATCTCTTTGAGAGCATTAAGAAAGGCCTTTCTTTTTTATTTACCTCATTGGCCTTAGGTAGTATTTGCAATTTTTTGTCCTTTTAAGAGCTTGATTTTAAAGTTAAGGATGCAGTGAGAGCTGTATGTATATATTATTGAAATTTTAAATTTAGTCATTTTAAATTTCAAGGATTAAATTTTTTTGTTTCACAATTTTCTTTATAGCTCTAAAGCTTGACAATTGGATGTATACTAATTATGAAATGATGCTATAAATATGCTCTTGTCTTCATTTGATTTACATTTAATGCTTTTTTGTGTGCTGTAGTGCAAACTTGGATGAGGAAGCACAGGCTGGTACGAGTTCACTACAGGTAATGTTGGATCACCATCCAGTTGCTATTACAGTGGAGGTGAAGCAAGAAGAAGACATTAAGCCCCCTCCTCTACTGGTTTTAAATTCTCAACAGAGTGATATTTTAGAGCAAAGAGAAGACCATGAATTAGTACATGTTATGGAAAGATCTTTGTCGCCGTCACTTTCCTCTGTTGACATGAGAATGACCTCGTCTCCATCTTCTATCCCAAGGAGAGATGATTTTTTTCGGCATGAGCGTGGAGAACACTGTAGGTCACAGTTAGGGCATGACCCTCAGATTCTGCAAATGCTGAAAGAAGAGCATCAGATAATTTTAGAAAATCAAAAAAATTTTGGATTGTACGTTCAGGAGAAGAGGGATGGATTGAAAAGAAGGCAGCAGCTAGAGGAAGAGCTGCTAAGAGCAAAAATTGAAGTGGAGAAGTTGAAAGCAGTTCGCTTACGGCATGATCTGCCTGAATGTAATAGTCTCTAATATTTTTTTTTAATCTTGCAATTTGATAATTTTAATTTTGGCCAAATTACTTTCATTTGGTAATACCCTAAGCAGGATACATATACTCTTAAAAAGTGTTGTTAGTCTCAATTGTGAAAAAGCCTTTTTTTTGACATTATCCAATTATTTAATTTTCTTTTGAGATATATTAAAACGTATGCATTGGTTGGCATGGTTATATATTTTTTGTCTTCAATTTTTTTTCTAAGAAGTTTAATTGATGGCCTTACAAAAGATGTCTTATTTTGATCATTAAAATAGAACATACATGAAAAAGATATACATATGTATTCTTTCAAAGTTCTGAGTCTTCAGCATTTTAAATTAGAGCTTTGAAAGCTGTAGTTCAAGGTTTTTAAGTCCGTCTAATTTAGAAACAGTACAGGCCTGATAAGAGAAGCTTGTCTGTATGACATTGATTTTTATGCTTTCCTGTGTTTTGAAGAAGTGATAGAATTTTAGAGAGGGAAGGTATTTGGAAATCACTTTTTTCCACCTCTTCAGTTTAGAGATATGAAACTGAGGTCCATTGGAGAACTCAGTGACTTGATGTAACAGAGCTATTTATGGCAGAGCAAGGACCAGCATTCAGTTTTCATTTCTCTGTAGGTTTCTCCCCTGCTATTCCATAGAAGTAAAAATCCACTAAAATATATTTCATATGAAAAAATTATAGAAGTGTTTATTTCATTAAAATTGCTTTTAAAGATTCATAGGTTATGAAATCAGGGGACTTCTATCAGTTACCCCTAGCCTTCTTCCCTTTTTTGTCCAGCAAAATAAGATTGTTCTCTGTCTGGACTTATTATATATTTTGGCTATACGATTTAATGTCGTAATCATTTTTCATATCTTATTCTGAAAAAGATTTATTTCACAGTAAAAAAGTTGATGAACAAAATTAAAATTTTACATACAAATAGCAAAAAATAGTTATGATTTAATATATATTATTGTAAATACTGCTATTTTAGTATTTGCAGAAATAAAATCCCAATTCTGAAAGCACATTTTAAATTTAAGTGAAATTTTTAATATGTATATTTTTGCTGGTGCTTTGTTGAGGAAGGATTTTTAAGCCAATCTTTAGAAATGGGTAGGTGGAATTTCAGTATTTCATTACAGTGGAAAAAGGATGTTTAAGTCAGAATGAACAACATGGGAAAAGGTTTAGAGAATGGGGAGAAGTGAATCAGGGAATACAAGCACAGTGGTAGGCCAGGTGATTTTAAGTGGATACAGAGAGGGCCAATTAGGACTTAGTTACCTAGACTAGGATTAAATGAATAGCTACTATTAGCTCCAGCAAAATTTTTACATGCAGTACTCCAGAAATCTGCATTTTTATGTGAAGATTTTCAACTTAAAAATGTTTGCAAATAATTCAAAATGTTTTAAAAACTACATAGACAAAACATGTGAGTGGGCCTCATTCGGCCACTGGGCTTCCAGTTTGTTGCCTTTGGAGTAGAGTAATGGTTCACCAAGAGTAGCGTTGACCAGCAACATCGCCACCACTTGAGAACTTTGTTAGAAATGTAAATCCATTTCCTTTTGAATCAGAAACTCTGGAGGTGAATCCAGAAATCTGTTATAATAAACCCTCTAGAGATTTTGATGGAAGCTAAAGTTTGAGAACCACTAGAACAGAGTATTTGGAATGTAGCTTGATGCCTAAATCATACTAGATTCTCAAAAAAATTTTGCTGAAAAGAGGAGGTGGGTGAAGGTGAATTGAGGGACATTAGTTTGGAAGTTGATTGGTGCCAGATTATGGATGACACTGAATACTGTTTTTAAATAATCACAGTTGAATGTACAATAAGTAGTCATTGAACGCTTTTAATTAGAGGGATATAAATTAGATATCTGAGTTAGCATTATAATAGCATTTGTGGGTTGGGCATTTAGTGAGAGGAAATTAAATCCAGAATTTAGGTTATGGCTATTGAAATAGAATTAAAAAAACCTCTCCTGGTACTATTTTAGTTTGTAGATTGCTTAATTTCATCAGCATTTTATGTCTGCTATTAGAGTTAAATATTTTATTATGAAAATGCCTTGCATGTATAATATGATACCTCTTTTCAGTACTTCCATCTTTATGCTGTGATTTTTCTTTAAGTCTAAACTGGACTCAAGAGATTAGAATATTATAAATCTAATTTAATGTTTTTACAATATAATTTTAGTAAATACATCCTTGAAGTAGTCAGTTTTAACTTTTTGAAATTATTGGAAGCATATTACCATATGTAATGTAATTCATATTATAATCTTAGCATGCTGCTACTCAGAATTGATGTTAATGTTCAATTTGAATGTTGACTTTGTGCAGCCAGATCAGTTTTCCAGACTCTGCTCTGTGCAACATTAAATTTGTGAGATGTTTTCTAGGAGAGTTTTGTGTTCAAAAAAGTGCAACACATTTATTTTTGTGTGTGGTTAGGTTCTAAAATCACTGTGGTAGGTAACAAATTAATATACAAAATTGCCCTTGAAAGTTTTTTTGCTGCCTGTAATAGTCTTCTACAGTCATATTTTCCTTCAGCATTGTTCAGGATTGTTGTTTCTTTGGTTTTGTCAGGTGACAGACTCTTAGAATTTAGGGACTGCGTACAAGAAAAAACTTTATTTTTATATACATTTAAACACCAGAATTGTACTCATTGCAGTGAGTTTACTGCAGCATTTTTCTGAGTCAATCTTGTTTAATTGTAATTTGCAAAAATTTAAATGCCATGAACTTTACCTACGAAATGTCATGCTGAAAAACATAGGTAAGAGTGATTTTATTTTTAAAATGTAGACTTGATTCTGTAAAAGCATATTAAATTTGAAAAATAAGCTAAGTCAAAATATCCTTTCATTGAGTATATTAGTAATTTGGATAATAGGTTATTTTTGCCACCTTTGTATCTTATCCACATGAACTTAAATGATACATTGTTACTTTTACAACTTGATTTTTCTAAACTAGATATGATTTATAATGGCATCCTGAAAAACTTAACAAAGCTCTTTTCATTTCTAAAAATACCATTAGATTTCTTAAAAATTTCAAATTAAGTACTTGGCTTTTTTTGTATGAGACATTGAGTGTTATTTCATTTTTGAAAGATTTCATTCTACCCTGTTGCATCTTTATTTATGTGAAAATGTTTAGACTATGAATTATTTCCATGTGCCTTCTTTTAGAGTAATGTCAAATTTTAAGTAGACCTGTAAATAATTTAGAATGTGACATATTGTATTTAATATATACTGTAGATGATGGTGGTTAAATGCTTTGTTAATACATATCTTTTAAATACAGGGTGATACATTGTACTGATTTGTGTACTCTTTATGTGTCATAAGACAAAGAATTCAGTACTACTGAGATAAAATTTTTTGGATGGGGCGCAATTGAAATACATTTATTTAAATAATTGTGTTTATAGTGGATACTAAATGTACCATGTCTAAATGTCATAATATATTTTTTTTAGATGTTAAGATCCACAAATTCTCAAAATCAGTTAAGTATTTGATGGTGAATTTGATTGTAAATATGTAAAAATAATTAGATGAAATATGGTTGTAATACTTAAATACAAAAAAGTGAGTTCTTAAGATATACAATCTAATTAAATGTTAACAGTCATATTAAATGTTTGCATATGATTTTGAGAAATTGACTCAGTATATTTTTATATATTTTTTAAATTGATTAAAGCTAGTAGGTATAATTTGAATTTATATCATTTTTAGTGTTCAGTTGCTTCGTAAGTAGTGGAAAGCCATATAAATTAAAATAAAATTACCACCCAAAGTTAGCCCCAAAATTTAAATTAAAAGAGATAGATCATTAGACTTACACTTTGTTAGTAGATCTTTAATGTCTTAAAATTATGTGTGAATTCACCTCTTTAAAAAGATTAAGAAACTCTTCAAATAGGAAAAGTTAAAAGCATTTTGCAGTAAACCTTTATATGCCTGCCACCTAAATTCTGCGATTATTGTTTTGCCGTATTTGCTTTATCGTGTATCCATCCATCAGTTCATTTTTAAAAATAAAATGATGGGGTGCCTTGGTGGCTCAGTTGTTGAAGCGTCCAACTCTTTTCAGCTCAGGTCATGATCTCACAGTTCATGAGATTGAGCCCTGTGTCGACTCTGTGCTGATAGCGCTGAACCTACTTGGGATTCTCTCCCTCTCTTTCTGCCCCTCTCCCACTGGCTCATACTTGCGCTCCCTCCCTCTCTGTCTCAAAATAAATAAACTTAAAAAAAGATGTTAAAAAAATTATAAAATAAAACAGCTATTTAAAACGTTGGAGAATTATTTAGAATACTTTCCAGTTAAACAATTAAGCATAAATATTGTGAAATGGAATTCAATATTTGTGTGTGTGTGTGTGTATGTGTGTGTGTTTTGGGTAAGATTTTCAAACAGTGAAATATACAAGTTTTAAATGATGAGTTTTGACAGGTGACTCCACCTGTGTAGCTTATATCCCTATCAAGATTTAGAACATTATTCTCACCCCAGAAACTTCTCTCCTCCCCTTTCCTGATCAGTCCCTTGGCACATCAGGCAATTGTTCTAATTTTTCAAAAATCATAGATAAGTTTTGCTTGTTCTAGAACTTTATATAATTGGACTCATATACTATGTTCCCTTTGTTTCTGTTTTCTTGCACCTATCTTAATGTTTTTAATATCCGTGTTCATGCATCCTCTTATCAGTAGCTCATTACTTTTGGTTTTGAGTAGTATTCCATTGTAGAAGTATACCTCAGTTTGTGTATCCATTATTTTTTGATGGACTTTTGGCCTATTTCCAGATTTTGGCTATTATGTATAAAGATTCTGAGTATTGTATAAATTTCTAGTAGACATGATGCTGGATTAGGGAAGACCTATATGTTTAAGTTTTTAAGAAACTGCCAGACCTTTTCCCAAAGTGATTGTATCATCTTACACTTTCATCAATAGTGTATGGGTTTCTTTTTTTTTTTTAATTTTTTTGCATGCTCAATGATTGGAATGTCAGAGTTGAAATTCGTAACTTTTCTTATATTTAGATGAATTTAAAATGCTGAGCAGAAAAATGCTGAGCATGTAGTTTTGATATCTGGGAATATTGTAGTTTTATTTGTTTTTTGTTTTTTTTTTCTATTTTAGCCTCTACTGCATATATGCTTTGATAAGAGTATTGAGAAATGTGATGAAATGTATAGTCCCTGTCATGCTCATAAAGTATTCTGAAAATGATATTTAATGCAAAGAAATATCTTCTGGGTTTATTTTATACATAATGATATTTAGATGACATTAAATCTCTCTTATTAAAGAAAACTGGATGATTACTGGTTCGGAGGAACTTGTATATTAATGATTGTAAATTTTTTAGTGTAATAAAACTGTTTCAAACCTTAAATTTATATTGCAGTTATATGTTAATTATATTAAAAATTCTGGTAGGTTTTGGTAATTTTAAAACTCAAAAAATATAATCTGGGAGAGTATTTATATTCTTTGTTGAATTTGATTGTAGGAGACATTTTAAATTTCATTTGCTCTATTGAAACTGTGTATTTGGAATTTTTGAAAGAAAAGGAAGAATATTAGAGACTTGGGTATATGAAATGTATAACTAAGCCATCCAACTATAGAGTAACTGTGCTTAGGAATCATTTAGATGATAATGTTCACTATCAATATTAAAATGACAATATCTCCCTCTTCCTCTTTTATCAAAGCATGGTTTTAATCATCATGCTGACCTTGTGAATCTGGCTTATAGGCATTCAAGTCTTTTGTTTATGCAACTGTTTTTGGTCTTGATTTGTAAAGTACATTATTGGGTCAAGGGGGAAATAGATCAGATCAAGTTTAGAAATAAAAATTAGAGTGGAATTGTTGGGGGTGATTAGTCTGGAACATAGCAAATTAGTATTTTATGTATTACAAATAGTCTAGATGTAGGAGGTTATGTTCCTTATGTGTTTAATTCCCAATATTGTTATTCTTCTTTTTGGAATTTCTCTCTTTCCTGCATTAATGACCTGTATTTAAAATGGGACTAAATGGGAAAGGGACAAAGACAAGATGATGATGATGGTAGTTAATAGGTAGTATGTATTACATGTCAAGTACTGTTCTAAGTGTTTTACATATGTTAGCTAATCTAATGCCCACAAAAAAATCTGTGAGGTAGGTACTAATATTACATTCATTTACAGATTCATGAACTGGCATAGAATGGGAAATAGCTTGTCCAGGGTCTCAAAATTCAGACCCCATCAGATTGGTTCATACTCTTGTCTTCCTCCTACTGTTCTGCAAAAGAAAGGGTATATCTGAGAATCTTCTGATATTTCAAAGTTAATTATAAGTAATTTCTGAATTCTCAGTTTATTATCTATTCATTTTTTTCTTGGTGCAGGAAGGGTCTTGGACACAAGTCAACTCTTTAGGCTCTGGGAATACAACAGGGTATTTGACTTGGATGAAGACATACTTTTCACCTTTGTTTTACTGCAATCCTGTGGAATCACATTTTCTTGGATAATGTAATAAAAGATAAGAGCAAATTTAAAAAATGCAGAATGGTATTATTAGTCTTTCATTCAATGTACATTGACTACTACTGGTAGAAATAATGCAAAAACAAAACTAAAATTGCACACCACAAAATTTTTTGGAGTTCAAAAACTGATCAAGTATCCTGTCTTTTTTCTTAATCCTAAAAACCTCCAAACTTTATCTGGGGAAAATCAAGGTTGGTAATCAATAAATGACAACTACTAGTTATCTAAAACCTGGTAAATTTTCTTGACTAAAAAATTGATGGAGTAATACAGTTTTAGTAATATTTAGATAATCAAAATCCGACTTAGCAAAACTGCATTTGGTAGAAATTATGGTTATAAAAACTAATGTTTGCAAAAGCTGTAATCTGTAATATATGATTCATAAAAAAGTGACCAAGGAATCAAATCTTTGTTATAAAGTTTACTTGGAAAATAATCCTGAAGGTAACAACTTATAAAAATGAAAATTAAAATGGTCAATAATGGAGATGAGTTCAAAGTTAATTCCTAAAGCTACTTTCACATGAAAATTAATTTTAAGATAATGCTATCTTAATATTTTTATAAGTATGAAGTCAAATGCACTTTGATTCAAAATGGCAGTTTTCAAAAGTACCTATTATTCTGGGCATATGGTGATGAGCAAGATCAAAATAGACCCTCTCAGGACTTCATAGTTTAGTGGGGAAGTAATCTGTCACATGATTAATTGCTGAGATAATGTTGAAATAATAAAGCAAGATCTATCTAGCTTGGTGGTCAGGAAATTTAAAGTCTATGACTGGGTGAATAGAAGTTAATTTGGAATAGCATGTTGGAGGAAGAGGTAGAAGGTTAGAAGTAACATGTTTTCTTAGAGACCATTAAGACTAATGGATTTTAAGCAAGAAGGATACTTAATGAGATCTACATTTAAAAATAGGTAAATATAGTAAATACAGAAAATGGCTTTAGGGAGTAGAGGTGGCAAGACATCTCAGGAGGCCTGTTGGGAAGATCCTACAATAGTCCAGATCAGAGATGGTGCTTTGAAGAGTAGAGGTTATGGAGAAAGCAAACAGTACAAAGCTTTGAGAGCCATGTGGGATCTAGAATCACCTGGATTTGTGGTTGATTGGCTATGGAACTGAGAATAAAGGATGTCAAGGATGATTTCCAACTTTTTGGCATGAATCAGGGTGGTGGTACTCTTACTGAGAAATGAGAAAACTGCAGGAGAAGCAATTTTTGGAGAGAAGACAAGTGGGCCTGATGAGATGTTCATGTAGATTGGTCTGAGGGGCAGTTATGTACAGGTGTACAGAACTACAATCATGATCTGGGCTACAGAAAAAAAATACAGGTTTAAGCAGTGGTAGTATCAATTTAAGGAGAAAGGCACATTGAGAGGACGTAGAACTCCAGTCTGATGAACTGGCAAAGATGTTCAAGAAGAAGCAACCAGAGAAGTAAGGAAAAATTGAAATGTGTTAGAGAAGCTAACCTAAGTAAAAATAGGGTTTAGTATTTCAAGGAGGAAGTAGTCAACATTGTCAAATGCTTTTGAGAACTCTGATGAGGACTAAAAAAATATCTTGTGGATTTATTGGCAAGGAGTTTGTCAGTAGCCTTAACAGGATAGTTTTGGTGGAGGACTGGACTGGAAGCCGGATTGGAGTACAGATCTTCCTTGACTTATGATGGGGTTATGTCCTGATAAACCCATCATAAGTTGAAAATACTGCAAGTTGAAAATGCATTTATACACCTAACTAACCTACCAGTCATCATAGCTTAGCCCAGCTGACCTTCACCATGCTCAGAACATTTACAGTAGCCTATAGTTGGGCAAAATCATTTTTTCAAAAAGTTGTATTTATTCATTTTGAGAGGGAGAACGGGAGAGAGTGAGAATCCCAAGCAGATTCTGCACTGTCATCACAGAGCCTGACATGGGGCTTCAACTCACGAAATCATGACCTGAGCCGGAATCAGGAGTCAGATGCTTAGAAGACTGAGCCACCCAGGCGCCCTGGGCAAAATCATATAACACAAGCCATTTTGTAATAAAGTGTTGACTATCTCCTGTAATTTATTGAATAGTGAGAGTGAAAAACAATGGTTTTGAGTGTATTGGTTGTTTACACTCATGATTTGGTGGCAGACAGGGAGCTGTGGTTCGCTGTCGCTGTCCAGTTTCACAAGAGGATTAGACTACATATTGCTAGCCCAGGAAAAGACCAAAATTCAAAATTTGAAGTTGATATTTTCCCATGGATGTTGAAAATTTATCTTTAGTTCCCAGAGCTTTAAAATGTTAGCGGTAAAATAAAATGTGGTAATTATCATGTTGTTCTATTTAAACTGAGTTTGTATGACTTTGAGATGATAAGAATTTGTATTCATTGTACTCATGCTAATGCTAGCATCTGATGTTTGAATTTCTCAACTTATAAAATACTAACAGGAGTATGACCAAATATTTTTTCATACTTTTTAGTAACATCTAATTTTCTTATGTTCTTATTTTTGTTGAAATGATCTTTCTGCTTAAAGTCATCTCTAATAATGTGGTTTTATTTTATTTTATTTTTTTGTTCTAGTTCACTCAGCCCCTAAAGAAATTACAGTGCCTAAGAGACAAGAAGAGGAAGAACCTGATAGCCTAGTTAAATATTTCAGTGTTGTTTGGTGTAAGGCTTCAAAGAAAAAACACAAAAAGTGGGAAGGTGATGCTGTTCTCATTGTAAAAGGAAAGTCATTTACATTAAAGGATTTGGAAGGCAAAGACATTGGAAGAGGTATTGTGATATTACATAATGCTTATGATTTGGCCTAAAATTAGTATATGTCTGAGGTTACATAATTAAAATGATTGGGTTTTATAAAGTGTTAGTTTAAGATGCTCTTTAACTAAATTATAGTAGTCAGTCTGACAGTCTTTTTATTTTTTTAGTGTTTATTATTTTTGAGAGAGAGAGAGAGACAGAGCATGCGCAGGGGAGGTGCAGAGAGAGAGGGTGACACAGATTCAGAAACAGGCTCCGGGCTCTGAGCTGTCAGCACAAAGCCTGACACAGGGCTTGAACCCACAAACCGTGAGATTATGATCTGAGTCAAAGTCATACGCTCAACCGACAGCCACTCAGGTGCCTCATCAGTCTGACAGTCTTATGTATACTAACTCACTGAAGCAAATCCCATTCCATGGATTCATTTTCTCTAAAATGAAATGGCTAGTCAGGGTATATACAGTTATTCTGGTATTTTTCTGAGATTAAGCAGTTTGTCTTAGTGTACTTTTCTCCCCAGAATGCTAAATGATTAAAATTAGAAAGATGTTGATGTCAGGAGTGGAATATTATCTAATTTCAATGATATCCAATAAAATTTTGAAAAAAAAAAAAAGGTAATGGCTAGGAATGACCTCGATTAATACATATAAATTGAAGGTTATCATTTCTGTTATGATATAAATGTTGCCAGCATGATTTGTACTAATACAGGTTAGCTCACAAATTCAGAATGCTTAACACCAACCATGCTTTTTGGCATTGTCTTCAATCATTCATTCATTCAGTCATTCATTCAATAATATGATAGTTAATAGTTTTCAGTAACCGTTATGTGCCAAGCACTATGCTAGGAGTAAACATTCAGAAATGGATATGATTTATAGTTTAGTGGGGACAAGGCAATATAATTGATAATTAGGAGGCAATAATAGAATTGTTTCATTGAGAATTTGTACTCAGTGCAATAGGAAATAGGCCATTTAGATCTGCCCAGGAGGCTGGGGGAAAGCTTCATAAGAGTAATTGCTTAAGGTAGTATTTGAAGGATAGTTTTGTAGGGTATGAGAAAGGGGCATACAGAAGAGGGAGTAGTATATGCAAAGGTATGAAAGAGAAGTAAAACTAATTCAGTGTTTCAGGAATGTAGTCTGTGAAGGTCAGGGACAGAGTGATGAGTGGAGGCTGAGCTGAATTATCTGCAACAGAACTTTTGTATTATAAAAATATTGAACAACTATTATATATATGTTATTCTCAGCTTTTAGAGGAATTAAAAAGAAAATTACAGTTCATATTCCATGTTGTTGGTTAAGGTAGATTGGGGCTAGATTTTAGGAGAACTTGTTTATACCTATATGGTGAAATTACATTCTAAAGCCAGCTAGAGAGGTAAAATTATCAAAATTACCCTGGAATATTCCTTACCCATAAGGCATAGTATACATGGTTTTGTGTATGTGTAGTTTATAATAAAATGGTCTTTCAGTTGCATGTAGCAAAAAATGCAAATCAGGTTTCAAATAGTGGGTTTTTACTCTGCGCAAGTAGAATCACCTAAGGTGTTTTTATTTATTATTATTAATGATAATGCTCATAGGAAATGCCAATGAGCAGTCTCTGCTACTGTTTTATTTATTTTTTATTTTAATTTTTTTATACACTTATAAAAAAAGAGAGAGAAGGAGACTCAGAATCTGGAGCAGGCTCCAGGCTCCGAGCTGTCAGCACAGAGCCTGACGCGGGGCTCAAACTCAACAAACTGCGAGATCATGACCTGAGCCGAAGTAGGATGCTTAACTGACTGAGCCACCCAGGTGCCCCAATTTATTTATTTTTTAAATGTTTGTTTATTTTTGAGAGAGAGTGCTAGTGAAGGAGGGGCAGAGAGAGAAGGAGACAGAGGATCTGAAGCAGGCTCCGTGCTAATAGCAGCAAGCCTGATGTGGGGCTGGAACTCAGGAACTCCTGAGATCATGACCTCAGCAGAAGTTGGATGCTCAGCCAACTGAACCACCCAGGTGCCCCACCTAAGGTGTTTTTTATTTATTTATTTTATTTAATTTATTTATTTATTTATTTATTTATTTATTTATTTATTTATATTTATATATGAAATTTATTGTCAAATTGGTTTCCATACAACACCCAATGCTCATCCCAAAAGGTGCCCTCCTCAATACCCATCACCCACCCTCTCCTCCCTCCCACCCCCCATCAACCCTCAGTTTGCTCTCAGTTCTCAACAGTCTCTTATGCTTTGGCTCTCTCCCACTCTAACCTCTTTTTTTTTTTTTTTTTT